GGGGCTCCTGAGAGAGGATGGGGTCAGGGGGCTACTGGGGGTCCCAGGGGTTTGGGGGGGCTCACCGAGGCGCTGCGGGTCACCCCCTCCAGCTGGGTGGGCGTCTTGAGCCCCCCGTATTTCTTCCAGTAGATCCAGCAGGAAGCACAGAGCCGGCACTGCATGTTGGGGGGCCCCCAGGCGTACCACTGGGGGGACTGGGATGCTGGGGTGGGGGGGGAGACACTGGGTCAGGGACACCCCCTCAAATGCAGGGACCCCCAGAGGACCCATCCCAAAACCCCACAGCCCCTCCCAAATCCCAGGAATCCCCCCACACCCCAGCTCCCCCCCAAACCCCAACACCTCCTCATGCCCCCCCCAGTTCCCCCAAGCCTCTGGAACTCCCCCCAACCCCAGAGAGGCCCCAATTTCCCCCCAAGGCCCCCCCAGCCCCCACTGACTGTGGCAGCTCTCGCAGCTCAGCCCCTTCTGGAACCCGGCCCCGTTCACGCCGGGTTTGGAGCCCACCGAGATGATCTGGTTGGGGTTGGGTTTGGTGCTGCAGGAAAGGGGAAGGGGGGGGGGGTCAGGGGGGGTCCTGTGTGCCCCCCTAGGCCCAGGAGGGGGTCCCCAAGCCCCCCCACTCACTAGGTGGGGATGTAGACTTGCTTCAGTTTGCTGTCGGCCTCCGCTGCCTTCAGCCTCTTCTGCGAGCAGGGGGAGGGTCACACGGGGCTGGGGGGGGTCACACAGCCCCCCCCAAACCCCCACAGGCCCCCCAGAAGCCCCTCCAAGCCCACAGGAGCCCCTCAAACCCCGTATCTGCTCCTTCAAACCTCCTGCCAGCCCCCAAACCCCCATATCAACCCCCCAGGTCACCACTGCCCCTAAAACCTCCCAGCCCTCTCAAGTCCCTGTATGAACCCCTTAGACCCTCACAGCCCCCCCAAAACCCCCAGCAGCTCCCCCAGATTTCCCCAGATGCCCCCCAAACCCCCAGCAGCTCCCCCAGGCCCCCCGTACCTGCTGGATGTAGCGGTCGGTGGTTTTCCACATGTAGTAGAACTGGACGATGCTGGCCAGCGACTTCCAGGGCAGCTGTGGGGACACAGCCCTGGGGTTGGCGGGGGATGGGGGGGTCCCTGACGCCCCCAGGACACCCCCCCGAGCCCGAGCCCGTCCCCCTCCCCACTCACGAAGTCCTGCCGGATGTCGTTGAAGTCCTTGCCGTACTTCTCGAGGGCCTCCTCGAACAGCATGGCCTCGGACGCCGACCACTCCTCCATCTCGTCCCGGCACAGCACCGGCCCCCCCTGCGGCACCAGCGTGGCCATGGCCCGCGCCAGGTCGTACCCGTTCCGCTGCAGCGTGTCCATGGCGTGGAACTGGGAGCAACGGAATGCACTGGGGGCACCGGGGGGGGCTCCGCTGGGGGCTTCGGGGCAGGTTTGGGGCAGGGCTGGGGGGGTCCCTCACAACCCACCAGCATGGCCATGGTGTGGAACGGGGAGCTACGGGATGTACGGGGGGCAGGGCTCAGGTGGGGGGGGCTTGTGGGGCTCTAAGAGGGATTTGGGGTGTCCCAGGGGGAACTCAGGGGGTTCTGAGGGGATATTTCAGTGTTATGGACAGTAATGGAGAGCTCCAAGAGGGATCTGGAGTGCCCCGAGACCACCACGGGCTCTGAGCGGATCTCACAGCGTATGAGGAACATCGAGGCTCCAGGGGGATCTCAGGGTGTCCCAGGGACATCGAGGTGTCCTGAGGGAGCTGGGGGGGCTCCCAGGGGATCTCAGGGTGCCCCAGGGACATCGAGGTGTCCTGAGGGAGCTGGGGGGGCTCCCAGGGGATCTCAGGGTGCCCCAGGGACATCAGGGGGCTCGAGGCCCCCTCTCACCAGGGTGATGTCCCGCGAGGCCGCGGCCGCGCTCATGTGCAGGCTGGGCTGGCGGATGGAGCTGCTGCAGTCCAGGGCACGGGCGAAGGTCCCCACAGCTCTAGAGGGGGGACTGGGGGGTCAGGGGCGTCCCACAGACACCCCTGTGTCCCCCCACACCCACCAGACCCCCCCCCTCACCGAGCCACCACCAGGAACTGGTCGATCTGCCGGTCCGTCAGGGGGTTGTCGGGGTCCCACACCTTCATCTCCATCTTCTGCTGGTTCCGGTTGTCTGACTCACCTGGGGGGGGGTGGGGGGGGCTCTCAGGGTGACCCCCCAGTCCTGCACCCCCCAGAGCCCCCCCAGAGCCCCCAAACCTTCGGCCAGGCGCTCGGGGATCTCGGCCTGGTACTTGCAGCCCACCCGGATCTCGCCCTGGTCGGCCAGGAGGGTTTTCTGCACGGGGTCGAACACCAGCGAGTAGAAGAAGCAATCCTGGGGTGGAGGGGGACAGTGGGGGGGCTCAGCAGGGTGTGGGGGGGTTCATCCGGGTGGGGGACCCCCCAATTCCCCCCCCCAGCCCTGTTTGGGGGTGCAGGGACTCACCTCCTTCTCCAGGTACTGCCCCAGGATGTCGGTCTCGTTGAGCAGCGTCACGCTGCACTTGCCCCTGTGGGGAGGGAAGTGGGGGGGGGGGGGGTGTCATCCTGAGCCCCCCCTGACATGGGACCCACCCTAAGCCCCCCCTGGGCCCCCCCCTAGACCCCCCTCACCGGATGTGGGTGGCCGGGAGAGACTCGAACTGGCGGGACAGGAACAGCTCCCGGTGCTTGAGTTGGTGCCGCTGCTGCTCCGACATCGGGGGCTGCTTGGACTCCTCCTCGAACTCGCCTGGGGGGCATCGGGGGGGTCAGAGGGGGGGGATCGCCCCCCTCAAATCCAGCTGGGAGGGCCATTGTTCTCCCAGGGCCCCCCAGGGGCTCTGGCAGCGGCCCCGGGCGAGGGGGAGGGGAGGGAGGGGAAGGGGAGGGCATTGGGAAGGTCGGGGGGGGAACCCCCCCCCAGCAAGGGCAGAACCCCCAGTTTTGGTGGGAGGACAAGCTGGGGTTCAATCCTTGTCCCCCACCCTCTTAGGGTGCAGCTGTGACCCCCAAATGGGTAAAGCCCCCCCAGATCACCCCAGTGACTGCAGACAACAACAAACCAGCTTCCCCCCCCCAAACTGGGGGGACGGGGAGCCACGGCCCCCCCAGCAACTCCCCAACCACCGGCACCCATCTGTGACCCCCAAAGCAGCAAATCACCCCAAGGCCAACAGGGACACACCACAGCTCCCCCACAGTTTGGGGGGGGGCACTGTGGTGGGATGGGGAGGCCCCCCCAGCCCCCCAAGGGAACCCAACACCCCAAACCAAGCTGGGATCTGCCCATCACCCCTAATGCCCCCCCGATTCCCCCTGAGCGCCCCCAGAGCCCCCCAGAGCCCCCCACTCACGGGCGTTGCTGTCGGCCAG